ATATGGTGGGCTATGCTGAAATTTTTAAACACTTGGCTTTGCAGAGAAATCCATGAACAGGTTAAGCAATAAAACTGGCTTGATGGGTAGAGCTTCCTTCATGAAAACAGCTTCCTTTCTTCCCTTTTGTGAATCTTGTGTTGTTGTTGGTTTTTGTCTTTTGTTGTTGTTGTTGTTTTTTTTTTTTTGAAAGATTTTATTTATCTGAAGGACAGAGAGAGGCAGAGAGCATGAGTGGGGAGACAGGAAAGGGAAAAGCAACCTCCCCGCTGAGCAGGGAGCATGACTCAGGGCTTGATCCCAGGATCCCAAGATCATGATCTGAGCTGAAGACAGACATTTAACCGACTGAGCCACCCAAGCTTCATGAACCTTGCTTTTTAAGTGAGAATAGACTGAAGGCTTATGTGGCCAATCACAAGATGAATAAAAGGCAAATCTTTAGTGCCAACACAATCCATTTGTCTTTTGTTTGGAGCAATGAGAACCAGTCACTGCAGGCCTTTGACCCTCTCAGTCTTAGTAGAAGGACACTTGGAATAGCAGTAGAAACCAAGGCTGCTTCAGAGTCACATGGACTCAGGCAGGGACTGGCACACTGAGATGAATGACACAAGGAACACCTGCAAGCTGGCTGCTGCACAGAGTTAACATTCAAGGAAACAGGCCCAGACGTTACGTACGGCTCAGGAGCCAAATGGTGATAGTAAGAAGGAATGCCACCCCAAGGCAATAAAGGAGATTAAAATAGAAGGTTTTGCATCAAGAGAAAGAAATTCCAGTTACTATTTGTCCAGCTACAAAGTAATGGCAACCATAATCCTGCTCCTGATTTGCTCTATCACCAGAAAAGCTAATTTTCAGTGTAATGCCTAACTGCAGTGCCAAACATAATTGAAATGAAATGAGTGTACAACTTGTTTCTTGACAATACAGGCTTGAGAAGTTCTTCTCTTACCTAACAAGGACTGAGATTTCAAGAAGAGCAAAACAGCACAGAAATCAAGTACCTTTATCCAGTCACTACATGTAGGCTGTTTTAATTGCTTCTTTGTCAATTTTTTTTCCTCCTGTCACTTTATTGTTCCTGGTTTCATTTTGAAAAATTTCAAAACCTACAGAAAAGCTGGAATAGTACAATAGTACAAAATTATACATGCTTTCCTCGGTTTATCAATTATAACATTTACTACATTTGCTTCCTGTCTCTCTCTAAATATATAGGGACCTTGTGTTGGCCAGACCATTCAGAAGTGAATTACAGACATGACACATCACCTTATAATCTCCAGGCCCCAAATGTCCTTTTTAACTTTTAATTAAAATAGCCAATTAAAGTTCAAATATCGAGGCCCTCATCCCAAATGTGATGGTGTCTGGAGGTATTTGGGACATACTCAGATTTACATGAGGTCTTGAGGGTAGACCCACCCCCAACCCCTCCTCTCTCCACCACATGAGAGCAAGAAGACGTCTGTCAAGAAAACATCTGAGGAGGACCCTCATCAGGCACCAAATCTGCTAGTTCCTTGATCTCGGACGTCCCAGTCTCTGGCACTGTGACCAATGTTTGTTGTTTAAGCCACCTTGTCTGTTACAGCAGCTTGAGCAGACTAAGACAAATGTTTCATTATCCGTGATCATCATCACTCTTGTCTTTAATCTCAAATTGTCCCAAGTTTGGCACTTGAAGGCAATTTTTGTGTCCCATCAGTCTCTGGGCATTTTCTTCTTTATATTTTTCTGTCCCAAACCTGGAATTGACCATTTTCCCAAACATCCCTGGTTCAGTGGAATAGTAATTAGAAAGCAAGCTCAGGACAGTAGGTGTCCTCATTATTACTAGGGTTTTGCTTCTAGGTCCTTATAGAGGATGGGGAGTTGAGGGTGAGAAAAGGTGGTGTTAGGGAGAGAAAACACACACACACACACACACACACACAAACACACACACACACACCCCTTCATATAAATATCTCCAGTTCAAAACCAATAAAAGAGCATTCTTTTTTATCTGTTTCTGTGTTCTCTCTCCCTTCTCCCATAGTGAGTAACCTGATTCACAAGAACATCAGCAAATGTGCTCATTTCTTAAATCTATGCAATTGGCTTCAGAATTATTTAAAGTAGTCTCAGGAACATTTTCATCTTTAAAACAGTTGAATTTAACACCAGAGTCACCAAATCATCCCACATTATTCAGCAGAAACCACACATAACAGACTAACAGGTCCCTAGACAGCAACCAGAGGTAATACAGACAATATATACTAGCCAAGATTCAAACTGGACAACTTAGCAAAGGCTGCCATGTGGTTTCTCTAAAGCACCAAAAAAAAAAACAAAAAAAAAACAACAAAAGTTCAGAAGAGACTATTGATGGCTTCCATTTAAACTGTGCAGACTATTTAAGCTGTTTTCCTTTCAGAATCTATACTGCTTAATCTTTGGTATTTATTTCAGAAAAATCCAGTGGGGGGCCGGTGTAGAGAGAGAGGAGATATACCTAACAGTGGTCACAGGTGACTGAGGTGGCAGTTGGGTGATAGACAGGCATGAGTGTTCTTTGTGCTATTTACACTCTCTGCTTTTGTGGATGTTTAAAGATTTTTATATTTTTAATTTATTTTTAAGGTTTTATTTATTTATTCATTAGGGACACACAGAGAGGCAAAGACACAGGCAGAGGGAGAAGCAGGCTCCCTGCGGGGAGCCCGATGTGGAACTTGATCCCAGGACCCTGTGACCACTATCTGAGCAAAAGGCGGATGCTAACCACTGAGCAACCCAGGTGTCCCTAATGATTTTTATAATAAAAAGTCTTTTTTAACGTATTCCTGTCAAATCAGAGTAAATGTAAGCTTAAATGGCCAGCTCCGACGTCAATAAAAATCAAGTAAGAAGTATGTGGCTCTACTGTCTATACGTAGGAAGAGATAGTGACACCCTAGCTTACCTTTAGAAAATTGTCAAGGGAACTTACAATTTTTTGGCAACATAAGGTCCCAGTGTCTTAAAGACTAGACTATATAGCTGGATTATCCTCCAACAAATAAAACATTACCAATTGTGGAAAAAGAGTGACTTTCATTTCTGCCTATTATTTGGCCAACTAACTTTGTCGTAGGAGGAAGATTGAATGATTAAAATATGCTTATATTTTGGATGTTTCATTTTTCCCCTTGAAATCAGTGTTTTAAATTCCCTTCATTTCATGTGGAAAACTCTTAGGCCACAGCCAGAGCTATCGTGAGGCAAGGCATGATTCAATACTACAAACAGCCAAAAACTTGGAAAATCCAATTATGCAAAACACAAAAGCAGGAAACATAATCAGAAACTGCAACATTGAGGCAATCTTGGTATGTTTCTGAGGGAAGAAGAACATAGGAAAGGCTTTCCAGGGAATGGGGAAGCTGAACTCTGAATAGACTGTTGCTTGCAAGAGCAAGAAAATGAATTAAAAATGACACCAGGGAGGATGCAACCTCTGTCTAGTAAAACTGTTTCCCCTAGCCCATTCTGTCAGAAGCAGTGAGGGGCCAGGAAAACGAAGAACTCCAACTACATGAAGGAAGGTGTAGGGAAGTACTTGACCTCTCTCTTCTCTTTTCTTGGGTGGCGACATGACCAGTTGGATTTCTGCATTTGGCCACTGGACTGGCCAAGTGCTGCCCACTGGGGATTGGTTTTAATAGGCTCACACAACACAACCAAAAAAAAAAAAATGAATAAATAAATTTGCCCCTGAAAAGCTACAGAGCATGGGGAGGCTTCCCAGATTGGAAGACAAATAACCACCACCATTACTGTGGGAATAAGCAGATCTCATTCAGAAATCTTTCTTGCACATCTTATCAAAGAAAAATACATGACATAACATATCCTTGTCCAAGGATGCTTTCTTGTCCGTGTTCAAATTAGTATTAGATGATGAGAAAACCTTCATTCTCTGAAGCAGAATGTCCGTTCTTTTGGAAAAGTAAATTCTCAGTGTCCTGGGATACAGTATTCATCTGAGATATTTAAAAATTAAAACTCTAGGAGCATCTTGCTATGGCCCTCATCTTAGCACACTGGTTCCACACTGGGACAATCATGTCAGCCTGGGCAGAGGAGACATGTCTAGTTGGCTCCAGTTAGTAGCCTTCAAGATTCCTACATCAAAAATTCTGGCTATCTTGTAAGCCATGTGAAGAAAACAGGTACTTTAGGTGGTCTAAAGTTGAAGTGTTGGAATTGTTAAAAATAATCTTACATGTCTTTAAAAAAAAAACTGAGGCACCTGGCTGGCTCAGTCAGTAGAGTATGTGCCTCCTGATCTTGGGGTTCTGAGTTTGAGCCCCATGCTGGATGTAGAGGTTCCTTAAAAATAGAATCTTAAAAAAATAATTTTACATGAGGTTTTCATAAGCATCTCATTTATTTCAGCCAAGATCTCAAAAACAATAAACCAAATTATATCAGAAAGTATCAGCAAAAATTTAACCCTATCTTAGGAAATCTGCAAGATTCCAAAATGACTGGTTGTGAGTATAGCTTTGTGTGTAGAAGCACATCATTCTGCAGGGAGTACTTTGGGAGTGAACATCTTGATGTAGGACAAGGGAAGACTCCAATCTAAGCTCTTGAGTTGCATTAAGATATGGTCACCAATTGGGTTAGAAAAATCAGAGTTCAGTTCCAGAGATGAAACTGTTAAAGAACAGTCTGAGGTATAGCCTAGCCATAGGCTTGGAATTATAGGAAGATCTGATCTCTGAATTCTAAAGAATATTACTTGGTTAAGCAATTGGACTAAAATGAAGGGTTATGGTAGACACCACGTGTTGGTCAAAATGTAAAGCATCCACATTCCATGTCCTTATGCATCACAGATGTGGCCAGCTGTGAGCACTCCAGCTTCAGCTCTTCTTCCCAGCCATCTCCATTGGCCAGTGTGCAAAAAGAGTCCAAAGTAAGGACCAAATGAAGACCAAGCAGTAGGAAGGGTTTCAGAATTAGTTTTCTTCTATTGCCATTTACTATAAAATGAATATAAATAGATTAATCCACCAATGGAAAACCATGAAAAACTGATGAATTTTTCCCCCATGACTTTATCACTGAAATACATGTCACTTGCCTTGAAATAAGGTAAGAGTTTAAAGAAATGATGACTTACATGACCATGAGATTTAAAAATATAATCTAGAAAACAGTGTTATTGAGATTGATAAGTAATCATGTTGTCCAAGGCCTACCCATGCTGCTCTATGTTATATACACTTGCTCTTGGCTGATGAACAATACATGTTTATGACAAGTCCCAATGTACCATATTTTCCCTGCTCATGTGAATAAAATTACATGCACTATATCTTACCTTTCCCCAAACCTTGATGTTCAATTTGTAGAGAATATCCATGTAACTCTTTGAGTGTTACAGGAAGATTTTGAACCAAAGACTAGTTCAGAGGCCTTTACCTAATGTTTATCACTTTGGGGATATTTGTTTTTGGTCACAGACCTTTATTTTTAAACAAATTTTAAGTACCTAAAGCTTGAAGTTTAATACAACAGAACAAAAGGAGAATATAAACAGCTCGAGTTGTCTCCATGTTGCTAATTCTAGCAGCCAAAGGGGAATCCTACCGAACGTCAAAGAAAGGATGTCTCTGGACTAGAGACAAGGCAAAGGGCCTTATTGTTTGTTGTTGGTTTTGGTGGAGAAACCCACCTATGACTTATCCCATTTAATGGGCCTCTGGTTTTAACTAGCAAAGCATCCCTTTTCCTAGAGGAGAAGGCTAATTAGTAATAAATACTTAAGTAGAGTTTATTATCTAACATACCTTACTATCATTGCAGAAAGTCTCAGTAATATAAAAGTGAACTACTTATTGGAATAAGTAGTGCCTGTCAATAGTGAGTCAATAATGATTTATTGAATGATGAATACCTTAAACTTCACTTCTACTTGTTATTCTCCTGTCTTAGAAACTTAGGACATTGATTAAGCCCCACTGGTTACTAATTAGCCCCCATGAATAACTAATTCAAACAGGACTAGCAGGAGACTTCAGTCATGAGACTTAAAGTACTCAGGCATCCTAAAGCCTTTATCTGGGCAACATAAGTTACCTAGTTACCTATAGAAACTCTACCCCATAGCCCCATTTTGGAAAAATCAGGGGAAAATAAAGAGAGAGAAGAGAGATCAGCACCCATAAAACACTGCATGCCACTTCTTTTGCTGCTATTCCTAGCTAGCAAATGGAAAGCCTTCATTTTTCCACTCGTTTTTTCACTTTTCCTTGATCATCTATTTTCTTAATGGCAGCTTGGATGGCCTCTTGGTCGCCCAGGAACTGGTGAGGCCCAACAGCATGCAGGTTCTCATCCAGTTCCAGGAGAATGGGGACTCCAGTGGGAAGAGTGATGTTGATAATGTCTTCATCGGAGATACCTGTAGATCAGGAGAGGAATGGACAAGACATTAAAGGTGATGCAAGAGGAAGTTCTGTTCAGTTTTGTTTGTTTTAAGGTTTTTATTTATTTATTTATTTTAGAAAGAGTGAACAGAATGAGGGATAGAGTGAGAGGATCTCAGGCAGACTGTACTGAGCGCAGAGCCTGATGTGGGGCTTGATCCCCGAACCCTGAGATCATGACCCAAGTTGAAATTGAGAGTCGGATGCTTAGGTGACTGAGCCACCCAGGCGCCCCGCTGCACATTTATTGAGTCCCATATTTGCTGCATGTCTGAAACCATGCCAGATACTGGGAGGGATTCTAGCTATAGTTCCTGGAAGGAAAAAAAACTTCCCAGAAATTTAAAAAAAAAAATCTCTGTCTCTTAGACAGAGATTCCCATCACATCAAATTTTAGGACAGTAGATACCCTTCAGGGCAACCTGTTGTTCCTTCAGTTTCCCATCTAAATCCTGTACATGAACCTTCATAGTAGCGTTAGTCATAGCAGCCAAAAAGTGGAAATGTCCCTCAAATGATGAAGGGATAAATTAACTGTGGTAGCTGTGGTATAGCCACAGAGTAAAATATTATTTGGCAATAAAAAAGAATTGTGTGCTGATACATGCTACACATTGATGAACTTTGAAAATATTATACTAATATAAGCCAGTCACTATGGACTGTATGTTGTATTATTTAATTTATATAGGAAAATCTAGAGTGAGACAAATAGACTAGTGTTGCCTAGGACAAGACCAAATGGGGAAAATGAGAAGTGATAGCTAGGGTTACTTTTGAAAACAATGAAAAGAGAAGAGGGGCAAGATGGCTGAAAAGTAGGGTCCCCAAATCACCTGCCCCACTAAATTACCTAGATAAACTTCAAATCATCCAGAAAATCTATGAATTCGGCCTGAGATTTAAAGAGAGACCAGCTGGAATGCTACAGTGAGAAGAGTTCATGCTTCTATTACGGTAGGAAGACGGGGAAAAAGAAATAAACAAAAGGCATCCAAGGGTGGGGGGTGCCGCGAGGAGCCGGGCTAAGGCCGGGGTGAGAGTCCCCAGGACAGGAGAGCCCCGTCCCGGAGAAGCAGGAGCTGCACCAACCTTCCGGGCGGAAAGGGGCCCGCAGGGAGTTGGAACAGGACCCAGGAGGGCGGGGATGCCCTCGGGCTCCCTGGGACACTAACAGGCACCTGCGCCCCGGGAGAGTGCGCCGAGCTCCCTAAGGGCTGCAGCGCGAACGGCGGGACCCGGAGCAGCTCGGAGGGGCTCGGGCGGCGGCTCCGCGGAGGGGGCTGCGGGGCGGGAGCGCGAATCCAACAGCGCAGGCCCGGAGCACAGGGCGCCGGGACACAGCCCAGGATCCGGCCTCCCCCTGGGACAGGCAGAGGCCGGGAGGGCCCAGGACAGCGAGGACGCTCCTGCCCCAGCTGAGCACATCAGTGGCCCCGCCCCGGAGCCTCCAGGCCCTGCAGACCGAGAGCCCCGGAGTTACTGCGGGAGCTGACTCCAGGGCTCCAGGGCTGGCCCCGCCACTGGGGTTGTTCCTCCTGGGGCCTCACGGGGGTAAACAACCCCCACTGAGCCCTGCACCAGGCAGGGGCAGAGCAGCTCCCCCAAGTGCTAACACCTGAAAATCAGCACAGCAGGCCCCTCCCCCAGAAGACCAGCTAGAAGGACCAGTTCCAGGGGAAGTCAAGGGACTTAAAGTCTACAGAATCAGAAGATACTCCCCCGGGTTTTTTTTTTTTTTTTCCTTTTTGATTTCTGATTGCTTCCCCCACCCCTTTTCTTCTTTCTTTTTCTTTCTCTTTTTCTTCTCTTTTTTTTTTCTCTGTTTTTCTTTTTTCTTTTTCTCTTTTCTTTCCTTCTTTCTCTCCTCGCTTTTCCTCCTTTTCCCAATACAACTTGTTTTTGGCCACTCTGCACTGAGCAAAATGACTAGAAGGAAAACCTCACCTCAAAAGGAAGAATCAGAAACAGTCCTCTCTCCCACAGAGTTACAAAATCTGGATTACAATTCAATGTCAGAAAGCCAATTCAGAAGCACTATTAAACAGCTACTGGTGGCTCTAGAAAAAAGCATCAAGGACTCACGAGACTTCATGACTGCAGAATTTAGATCTAAACAGGCAGAAATTAAAAATCAATTGAATGAGATGCAATCCGAACTAGAAGTCCTAACGACGAGGGTTAACGAGGTGGAAGAACGAGTGAGTGACATAGAAGACAAGTTGATGGCAAAGAGGGAAACTGAGGAAAAAAGAGACAAACAATTAAAGGACCATGAAGACAGATTAAGGGAATTAAATGACACCCTAAGGAAGAAAAACCTACGTTTAATTGGGGTTCCCGAGGGCGCCGAAAGGGACAGAGGGCCAGAATATGTATTTGAACAAATCCTAGCTGAAAACTTTCCCAATCTGGGAAGGGAAACAGGCATTCAGATCCAGGAAATAGAGAGATCCCCCCTAAAATCAATAAAAACCGTTCAACACCTCGACATTTAATAGTGAAGCTTGCAAATTTCAAAGATAAAGAGAAGATCCTTAAAGCAGCAAGAGACAAGAAGTCCCGGACTTTCATGGGGAGGAATATTAGGGTAACAGCAGACCTCTCCACAGAGACCTGGCAGGCCAGAAAGGGCTGGCAGGATATATTCAGGGTCCTAAATGAGAAGAACATGCAACCAAGAATACTTTATCCAGCAAGGCTCTCATTCAAAATGGAAGGAGAGATAAAGAGCTTCCAAGACAGTCAGGAACTGAAAGAATATGTGACCTCCAAACCAGCTCTGCAAGAAATTTTAAGGGGGACTCTTAAAATTCCCCTTTAAGAAGTTCAGTGGAACAATCCACAAAAACAAGGACTGAATAGATATCATGATGACACTAAACTCATATCTGTCAATAGTAACTCTGAACGTGAACGGGCTTAATGACCCCATCAAAAGGCGCAGGGTTTCAGACTGGATAAAAAAGCAGGACCCATCTATTTGCTGTCTACAAGAGACTCATTTTAGACAGAAGGACACCTACAACCTGAAAATAAAAGGTTGGAGAACCATTTACCATTCAAATGGTTCTCAAAAGAAAGCAGGGGTAGCCATCCTTATATCAGATAAACTAAAATTTACCCCGAAGACAGTAGTGAGAGACGAAGAGGGACACTATATCATACTTAAAGGATCTATCCAGCAAGAGGACTTAACAATCCTCAATATATATGCCCTGAATGTGGGAGCTGCCAAATACTTAAACGAATTATTAACCAAAGTGAAGAAATACTTAGATAATAATACACTTATACTTGGTGACTTCAATCTAGCTCTCTCTACACTTGATAGGTCTTCTAAACACAACATCTCCAAAGAAACGAGAGCTTTAAATGATACACTGGACCAGATAGATTTCACAGATATCTACAGAACTTTACATCCAAACTCAACTGAATACACATTCTTCTCAAGTGCACATGGAACTTTCTCCAGAATAGACCACATACTGGGTCACAAATCGGGTCTGAACCGATACCAAAAGATTGGCATCGTCCCCTGCATATTCTCAGACCATAACGCCTTGAAATTAGAACTCAATCACAAGAAGAAGTTTGGAAGGACCTCAAACACGTGGAGGTTAAGGACCATCCTGCTAAAAGATAAAAGGGTCAACCAGGAAATTAAGGAAGAATTAAAAAGATTCATGGAAACTAATGAGAATGAAGATACAACTGTTCAAAATCTTTGGGATGCAGCAAAAGCAATCCTGAGGGGGAAATACATCGCAATACAAGCATCCATTCAAAAACTGGAAAGAACTCAAATACAAAAGCTAACCTTACACATAAAGGAGCTAGAGAAGAAGCAGCAGATCGACCCTACGCCTATCAGAAGAAGAGAGTTAATTAAGATTCGAGCAGAACTCAACAAAATTGAGACCAGAAGAACTGTGGAACAGATCAACAAAACCAGGAGTTGGTTCTTTGAAAGAATTAATAAGATAGATAAACCATTAGCCAGCCTTATTAAAAAGAGAGAGAAGACTCAAATTAAAATCAGAATGAGAAAGGAGAGATCACTACCAACACCAAGGAAATACAAACGATTTTAAAAACATATTATGAACAGCTATAAGCCAATAAATTAGGCAATCTAGAAGAAATGGACGCATTCCTGGAAAGCCACAAACTACCAAAACTGGAACAGGAAGAAATAGAAAACATGAACAGGCCAATAACCAGGGAGGAAATCGAAGAAGTCATCCAAAACCTCCCAAGACACAAGAGTCCAGGGCCAGATGGCTTCCCTGGGGAATTCTATGAAACGTTTAAAGAAGAAACCATACCTATTCTACTAAGCTGTTTGGAAAGATAGAAAGAGATGGAGTACTTCCAAATTCGTTCTATGAGGCCAGCATCACCTTAATTCCAAAACCAGACAAAGACCCCACCAAAAAGGAGAATTACACACCAATATCCCTGATGAACATGGATGCAAAATCTCAACAAGATACTAGCCAATAGGATCCAACAACACATTAAGAAAATTGTTCACCATGACCAAGTAGGATTTATCCCCGGGACACAAGGCTGGTTCAACACTCGTAAAACAATCAATGTGATTCATCATATCAGCAAGAGAAAAACCAAGAACCATATGATCCTCTCATTAGATGCAGAGAAAGCATTTGACAAAATACAGCATCCATTCCTGATCAAAACTCTTCAGAGTGTAGGGATAGAGGGAACTTTCCTCGACATCTTAAAAGCCACCTACGAAAAGCCCACAGCAAATATCATTCTCAATGGGGAAGCACTGGGAGCCTTTCCCCTAAGATCAGGAACAAGACAGGGATGTCCACTCTCACCACTGCTATTCAACATAGTACTGGAAGTCCTAGCCTCAGCAATCAGACAACAAAAAGACATTAAAGGCATTCAAATTGGCAAAGAAGAAGTCAAACTCTCCCTCTTCGCCGATGACATGAT